GCGACCGTGCCGTCGTCGACTGCCTCGCGGTTACCTCGCTCGCCTGTCAACCTAGTCATGTTTATTCACCGCCTATCCTCATCAGCTTGTACCTACAGTTTGATTCCGTTGTTTCGAGCCAAGAGTCCGTCCAATCTGTTCTCACGAAACATTGAAACGTTTACCAATATTAGATTGGAATATATTTTATTATAAAAGATTTAATAACGAGAATATTAAGTAAATATATCTGATCATTCCCACCGTCCCTCTAGTAATAATTCCCATAACAATTCACCGAATTAAGCCAAACACGGCTGTAACAGAAACACCGTGTCAATCGAACTCGAAGATTACGTAAACGGAATACAAATTGAAAAGGAATTCGAGAACGGTTCACACGGGACGAGGCAGGGGACTCACAATACTTTGATCAAAAGTTTCACCTTTTTCCTAGCGCTATTGAGATTTTCCCAAAAAGCGTCTTTCGGTATCGGTCCAGGTGAACATCCCCGACGAGGACTCGAAGTGGGACAGCCGAAAAGGGCCAAAGACCCCGTCCTGGTGGGGAGAACGATTTTTCATGTCTCGGTGCCACGGTACGCCGACAATAGACGCGTGTCACGATGTTGCAGCTGCTTTTGCCACTGTATGCCCCGAGTCCCGTGCACATGGCACGCGGGGCCCCGCGACAACATCTAAGCTAGCAGCTTCGGTTGCAGCAAATTAAGAGCCGGGGTGATTTTACAGAGGGGCCACTGGAAATTCCCTGTAAATCACGGATTCGGAGATTTCGATGCCTCGCGTCGGGAGACATCCCCGCGGGAGAAAAAAGATTTTCCTACGGATATTCTCAGTTTCAATTTACGTACGATGTACGCATTCGACCAGAATAATTGTCAGAAATATTATTAGGAAATTTATTAAAGAATACGTTCGGTATCTACGTGTCTTCACGTCCCGTCCGGATCGATATTAAAAAGAATCCGGGAGACCGATAAGATCGCTTTGTCGGATATTATCCTACGGCGGATATCGGTATAAGCTAAACGCCAGGTAGGCCGCCTTTGAAAGCTATTCAAACTTTCTCTCTGTATCACTATCCTCTTAATCGTTTGAAAGATGTATCTGTCTGCATGTGATCTTTCAAGATTTCGAGCTTTCTTTAAAAGAACAAGGACAATGATATTATCTGAAAGACTCTTCCAGTGCCATTAACAATTTACCTCCAGTGGAATGGTAAAGAAACGTTTACCCTTTTCCACAGAAAGTAGCACTCGCTGAAAACAAAAAGCTTTTCCTTCATGGCATGACTTCTTCGAAGCAAGGCAAAAGCTCTCTCTTTCTCTCTCTCCCACCCTCTCTTTCATCATTCGTAAAGGAACGCTTTTAAGATGCATCGCGCATTTGTCATGTGTCAAAAGTTCCGTCCCTTTTCTCTTTTTTTTATGCTTCGCCTTCATATCCTGAATTGCACGGCCACGAGTCGATTGAGAGTCACTGATCGAGCGCAACATACAATGCCTCGTAGACCACTGTAGGTACAGCCGAACGTTCCCACCTACCTGGTCTCGATAAACTGATTTATTATTTCGACATCATTGTACCGGGGCTCCGAAGTCGCATCTGTTCCGGGCGAATTTCGTAGCCGGGAGAAGCAGTCGACGATTCCTCGGTACGGTGCCGCGCCGTTGGCGAAATCTCGTCGATGAAATATATCCCGATGGCCCCGAAACTTTCTCGTCCTTCTTTCTGCCTCTTCCGCCTTATTCTTCCTCCTCCTTTTGCTTTTTACGGCTTTTTTATCGTGATATCGGCCAGTGAGAGAGCCGCCGTCGCCGCCATGCCTGTTCGACCTCTTTATTTCTATTGTTACATAAATATCGGTAACAGGATCCTTTCTTTTCCATCGCGGGTTTCATTTTGTACGAGCTTTCAAGCCCGTCGCGAAATTTGCGTGCACCTTAAGAATGCTCGCAACCAGTTCGGCAGAAGTTCTTTACGTTTCATGAAATCGTACGGATGCTGAATTCACGTTGGAATTCATACATGACGAAACCGCTTAATGAAATTGAGAGACATTATAAGAAACGTTTATGCAAATAGTACATGTTCAATCGTTCATGTGTGAATCGGGAGATTCTATCGGGACCTACCGCCGGCGGAAGGATGCAGCTCCTGTCAGCCGAACGACGCCCTGTGTCGCCGACCCTTTCTAGAAGAATACGCATTAATTTATATCTGCATACGCTCAGTATTATTATGTTAATCGCACATCATCCGTTTCGGGCAGACGTTTCGCGTTTCTATCTACGCTTCAAGTGATCTCGATTAAATGGGTCTCCGTCATCTTTCATGGAGAGGACACTTCGGCCTGGGAACGTCATTGGAAACAAACTTCCACCGCACGTTCTAATATTACGGGGTGTGCAATACTTCAGGACCGCGCGGTAAAACTTCGACCTATCAGGGTTGTAAGGCCTGACTTACACACGGATGCTGACGTAGTCCTTTAGTATTACCGTCAGGGAACTTAATCACCAACGACTCGGATTTTATTAATAGTAACTATGATTTATTAACACATCAGAAGAAACACTGATTACATTTAAACAAATGAACTACCATAAGTTATCTTATTGGTTAGTAATGAATAGGTGGGATTTTCGCCACCCCTATGAAGATGAACGTAAGAACAAAAAAATCTGGCCTGGAAAAAACTAGTAAGCATAAGGACTCATGAGCCGAGAAAGATAAAGTACGGATAAAGAATCAGAAACCGGGAAGGAACGGACTGTAAACCGGGAGAGATTTGCAAGGAGTCATAAACTGGGAAAAACTCATGACGCGCTTTCTATACAGCCTTTTCCAACTCGACGTCGCCGATTCTACCTTCTTCAGAATAGTGATGATTAAATAATAAAGTTTAATCTTAAATTAAAATAAAATTCCATTTGCTTGCGGTTGTTTGCAACGGAACACGGGGTAAACAGTTTTTCCCCGCCTGTCACAGTTTTTAAAAGGCTCGTTTGACGAAGTTCAACCCTTTTTTCGAGTTTCGACGGTTTCGCGTTATCTCCGCTCGAAGGGACGAATTGAGTATGTAATTAAGCGTGTCGTAATCATTGTCACGGGACGCGGTCAAACGAAGATTGAAAGCCACGGACTGGATAAGAGGGACACGTAAAATCGTCGAAGGATCAACGATTTTCGTATCGTCGAGGATTTGTGAAATTTATAGGCTGAACGCATTGAAAGGATTTTTATAAATGCTTCCTCGTGAATGGCGCGGGAACTTATTCCGTTTTGGATGCGGAGTGTATATGAGGAAGCTTACGGCGACCCTATCGACGGAATTTGTATATTGGAAAAAACAACCTCAGGCAATCTAGACCCTTTTTCCAGTAGAGTGTACACGTTTGAACGCGGTATAAATAGAATTTTTTACGGAAACAGGACGATGTGAAATGAAAGTAAACTCCATTATTTCCCAATTTTTCACAAGTCCGGTGAGAAGTTTATAAGAACGATCGCGTTTAACCAACAGAGACTATGCTTCCGAATCATAGGACACCTCTTTCAATTAACAGCCTTAAAAATCACTGAATGTGCCCGCACCCATCACGAGTCACGGGACAGTTCGTTAAAAAAAAAAAAAACGTCAGCCCGTATCCACGACCCGTTCTGCGTCGACACCTTGGATAAACGTCTAACTGCTCAGTAGCAGATAACGGATACCCTCATGAACCGTTTAACACCGACCAACCGCTCCAAGAATTTTTCGAAAATCGGAAAGAAGCATCGACGTATTTGGCAAATTGTCATATTTTTCGTGGGGATAACTTTTTCGTCTTCGTGGAATTAGAGTTCAATTTGCTAGGCTCTCTCTTCCAAGGATCGTAAAAAAACTCTCGTAAAACGCGGCTTAGTTATCCAGGACCAACCCCAGCGGCGAGAAACGACGCTCCTGCTAACGATTTATTTCTACGAACTTTACCGATTCAACATCGACGACTTTTCGGCCCTATACGGCTGAGCTACAACCCTTTTTTTTTCCATCTCGAGGCAAAAGAGGCGTCGTCGCATGTATAACACGCGGCAAACGTCCCGTGTCTTCTCTTCCGCTTTGTCGCTGGGCATTCGTTCCGAAATTTGGGTTACTCCGATTAACCCTTGGTGCGACCGTCAGGATGATTCGCTCGAGCGTAAGGAGACAATGTCAAGGCGTTGTCCCGAAGGTGTTAACACTTTTTGAATGACCGGGACCACCGAAACTAAAATCTTATTGTCCCGAATGCATCCCGGAACAAAAAACCAGTAAGAAGGGGGCGATTGTTAAATAAAATTTAGTGTAATTCTGATCGAAGGTATTTTCTCTCTTCGCGATTTTACATCGACGAAAGGAAAGTAATTGCGCAATCGCGAGAAGTAGCGAAGGACGTAACTAGAAGATCCGCGAACTGAAAAGAAGGAGGAAAAAGCAAAAGACGAAGAAGAAGAAGAAGGCTAGAGAGGTTCCTTCTCGGTCGAAGCAGGTTCGCAGCATCCCCTTGTTGCTTAGGCATCGCGCCGAGGGGTTGCAGCCCGTCAGATTGCGCTTGCGCGTGCTCTCCTCTCCGCCCTTCTCCCATCGGGTCCGATCTCCTACCCTAGGTACGCATCGAAATCTTTCGTACCTCGTCTTATACTCGGTCAACTAACTCGCTCTCGCCGCTCCATCCCATTCGCTGCGTGTCTCTCCGTCTGTCCTCCGCGTTCGCCGCGGTTCGATCTCGTTCTATCGCGCGGTACGGCGTAAGAGAGAATAACAGAAAATAAAAGGGAGAAGGAGAGAAACGTGCACGAGCTTACGCTCGAGTTCCCCTTTCCCTTTTCCCTTTCCCTTTCCCTTTCCATCGATGTGGTCCTGGGTATATCCTGGGTTCCCGCCATGACGAACGGGATGACACCCGAGAGTTGCCGAACAGGGCCGAATCGCGACCGAGGGCCGAAACGCGGGCAGCTGCGACTCCGAACGGACAAAGAATACTCTTGGAGCACACAGTCACCGCGCGGCGAGCACACTCACCACGGGGCAGTCCGTCGAACCAAAGGTACAGTGCTTTCTCGATGCGTTTCATCGCGTCGTCGTCGACGACTAGTAAACGCCGGCGAGCGACGGGTGTGCTGTGTTCACTCGTGAACGCGTGTTTCTCGGTATTGCTCGCGGTACAGGATACGCACGGGAGCGTGGACGGAGAGCGAACGTTCCGAACGTGTTTCAAACGAGGGAGCGCGAGAGGAAACGAAAGAAAACGCGAGCAAGCGAGCCAGAAAGAAAGGGTGGGAGAGTGAGAGAGCGAGAGAGGGAGAGAGAGAGTGTGTGTGTGTGTGCGTGCGTGCGTGATTATGTGTGCGTACGAGAGCGTGCGTGCGTTTCGGAGCAGAGGAATATTAAAAGACGACGCCGGCTTTAGGTGATTTCTCGATCGACGCGCGACGACGATCCGTGTGATTGGTGAAATAAAAAAATTAACTGGAATGAGGAAGGACGGTGCTGCTGTTGTTAACAAACGAACGATCACGTATCTCGGACGGGTCTCGTAAAAGCACACGTGTACTTACGTTCCGTACGTGGTTCGTCAAGTTCAAAGTTGTGTGTTGCCGGTGAAAAGGAGAACAACAAAGTGACCGGGGGTATATGTATACGTACGGTGACACAAAACGGAGCAACAGTGGGGAAAACGAGCGAAAGTTCGCGGTGAATAAAAATCGAAGGGATAGGACAGGGCTGGCAGGAGAGACAGTGTCATACGGCGACTCCAGCGAGGAAAGTTTGTTTGTCCGGTCGTATCGATACCATCGGTGATCGTGGATGAACGCTCGTTGTTGGCGGCCCCGTGGTCGGCTCAGCGGCGACTGATCGAAGAAAATTTTTGGAATGTAACATCGGGGCAGTGTCGATAAACGGTAGTGGAAGCAGTAGTTTGTCCGCGGGTACGGTTGGACAACGACCGGCGACGACGGCAACGGCAACGACGGCGACAGGGCGACCGGACGGGTGGAGTGTGCAGCAAGAGGGAGAGAGCGCGGAGGAGGATCACTCTCGCTTTCGTTCGACTCTCCCTCTCTATCCTTCGTTCTCTCCTCTGTCCCTCTCTCCCTCCCTCTCTTTCTGCTTCTCTCCTTTCTCCCTTGCTCGAACGGCGGCCGTTCTCGTTGCTGCTCGTCGACCGGCAGGAGAACGGAGAGAGAGAGAGAATACAAGAAAGAGAGCGAGAGAGCGCCGGAGGAAGAGAAGCGTCGCGCGGAAGACGGAGGAGCGACGAGGAGAGGATCAGCTCGCGTAACCGAAGAACCGAGGAGAAAGGAGAAAAAGAAGGGTAAGTGCGCTAAAAGAGTTAACGTTTCCCTGGATCCGTCCGATACGAACGCGTTTCGATATAAACGAAAAAATTTGTCCGCCGTCGTTACGTCGCGTTCTTGCTCGTTATCGTTGACATCGGGGGGTTGTTTCGTTTCGATTGGCCGCGCGCACCGTCAGGGGTACGCGAGGGCCTGCCGACGACGCGATCGGCAAGAACGGAACGTGTCCACCGCGAAATCCCCCTTCTCTGGCTGCGATCGACCATGTGGAAGTTCGCACCCGCGACACGTTTCCGTCGTCCTGGCCTCTTTGCCTACGTCCGCCGATGATCGCCACCACCATCGCTATCGGCACCTCCTCTACCACAATCTCGCCGTCGCCACCACTTCTACCTCTACCACCATTACCGTCGGCACCACCACCACCACCACCACCATCGTCGCAACCGCCACCACCACCACCACCACCACCAGCGGTACCACCGCTGCCACCACTACCATTGCCGTCAACGCCTCCTGCTAGCCGGCGGCGATGCACGGTAGTGTCCTCGAGCACGGCGTGCACGCATCGTGCTGCGAATGTTTCACGAGTATCGCGCGGTGCGTCAGGCAAAAACGCGTTGTGTCGTCGCGAGACGGGTGACGGGCCAAAGTGCATCTTCGAGATTACCCGGTGTATGAACATTTATAAAAGACAAAATTAAAAACAAAAATAGAAACAGCAAAAGGACAGTTAACTCCAAAAAAAAAAAATCAACAAATTAGAAAACAATTAGATATGATTACTTTTGTAGCAGAGAAAATGAATTTAGAAAATCAAAATTCACGAATTTAAAAATGTGTTGGAAGAGAAATTAATAGTTTCTAGCGTGAGATAGAAGAAATTTTAAAAAGTATTCCAAAAAGTGATAATCGAGGGTGAAGATATTATAGAAGAATCACCAGTTAGAAAGATGAGAGAAATGTCTTTATAACTTGAAGGAGGACATATATCATGGATAACACAGAAAAAGAGGAAGTCGAACGAATTGCACAAATGTTTCGCAAACGTCAAGTTGCAGATATTATCGAAAGAGATAAACAAAGGCAAGAAGGTATAGAAAAAGTTAATCGCGAAGAGCAAGGGAAAGAAGCTCGTGAACAACAAAACAAGACCTCATCAAGTGGTAGTTCATTTTCAAGATAAATAGTTGAAAGAATTTCCTATTGATAAAACGGCCCTTCGAGATTACCCGGTGTTTTCGAGACTCGGCTCCGACGGCTTCGTTGATGCCACCACGCGTAGTGTATGGGAAACAGGTTCTTAAAACACTCATTCTCTTCTATATAAACCCGCACGACCTTACACGGTGTACACATACGTAGAGAAAGAAAAGAAAAAGAGCGAGAGAGAGAGAGAGAGAGAGAAATACTTTTATTTTGTTTTTCGCCTCGATTGCGCGTGAACCTAGCTTAACCCGGCTGGGAACAAACGCCGCTTTGGTAAACAGCATTATCGACTATACACCGAGTGCCGTTCGTTTCATCGTGTGTAGGAGTTTTTGGTGCGTAGTGATGGAAATCGAAAAAGAAATGATACACAAGACAATTGATTACTTACTATTTCACCGGTAGCTCGTTATCAACCGTACAACGATTTCGGGCTGGACGCGAGTTCAAAGATTCCGCGAGGTGCACGCAATTCGATAAACCGCGTGGTGCGGCGAGAATTTTAAATCTTCCCCCGTGCACGAACTGTCCTGATACACGCTCGCGGTTGGACTCCGATAGTGGTATCGGGACTGGGATATGTTGTGTAGTAACTGTTCGAGTGTAGGAAGATCGAGCTCTGATCACCGATACCAACGCGAAAAAAGGAAACACGGTTATTGACAATTTACAGTTTACGGAGTAATAATACATATCGCACAGAGACACGCGATCGACGTTCGGATTCGTTAAGGGGTAACGGACTCGCCGGATCAGACACCGCGACTGCGAGGGAAAGAGATCCAGTTCCATCCGGCGCGGTGCGGCGGCGACTCTTCGCTTCCACGTTGCTCCGATTCTTCGCGAGGTTCGCTCCGATTCTTTTCTCGATCCGACAACGCGTGGGTCCGTAGAGACGGTCCCGGTCGAAATCGAAAATTAACGGCACGTTTCCAACGACAAGAATGCAAAGTAGCCCGGGGGAGAGTATTCTCCTTCATCTCTCTCTCTCTCTCTCTCTCTTTTTCTCTCCTTCTGTTTCGCCGTCGCGAATACGATCAATTCCCCTTTCTCTCTCGCTTTATTCCTGTCTCCTTCCTTTTTTCCTCCGGTTCCCTTTCCTGTGGGTGTTCCTTCTTTTTTGTGTCGGCGAGCCGCGCTCTACGGCCGCGAGAGAAGGAGGCGGGGGTGGCTGCGCCGGCGGCGAGACGCAGCGAGGACGGGGGGGCGAATTTCGGCCTACTCGGTTCACGGAACGGCGGAACGGATCGGAACGGACGAGGAACCAACGTCGTGGACCGCGAGAACAACGGGCGCCAAGAGATTTACGGGCACGCACTGTATCCCTTTTACCCGTTCCACGGATTCGTTCCCTTTTTTTTAACCCTCTGTTTCTATCTTTTTTCAATTCCTTGTTCTCGGTTCGATTTTTCTACCGCTCCGTTTCTAGTGCCAGCGGAGTCGATTGAATTCTAGCGTCTCGCTAATGTAGGACGAAAGGGCTCGGTCGCAAATCGTTCGGGATAAAGATACCGATGCGTGGTCGCTATTTTTTCAACTTTTTTCTACACGGTTTATAGTCTTTTCAATATCGAGAGAAGTTGTATAAACTGTGGGCCCTTGAAGGATCTAGCTGACGATGTAGGTACAATCGCGAATCAAGAGCGAAATTCGAACGTTCTAGAAATAATCGCGATTGTTTTGCGTGCGGAATAGAGAATACTTTTATCGAGTATTTTTCTCACTCCGTTATTGATAAATGTATTATTAGCTTGGCGGCAGATACTGGAATCTGCATTAGACCTGGATTTCAGTTTCTTACATCTACGTTTCTCTTCGTCGACAGTCGATTCTTTCGTTCTACAAACGCCTAAATTTACTTCGCTTCGAAACGAGTGAGCGATAACGAAGTCGACCGTACGACCCGTCGTGCATAGTGGTTTCGCGTGTTTACGCGGTTACGCGTAGCACGCGTGAAATTTTCATATTATCGCGTGTTTTTCACCCATCCGTAACCGGCGTAACCGTTCCTCAGCGACGACGCCGTGTTTCGCGATCTAGTTCGGCCTGATGACGGGGAAATAAAGAGAACGGAAAGGGTGTACGGGCACATAGTTGCGTAGAACATCGAACGACGTCGATAAAGAAACGAAATATACGCGAAGCTCGCAGCCGTATCATACAAGGGCGAACTTAGGCCGAACACCTGTCCAACGTGGAAACAGGTATCGACGCCGAAACGTTCTTTTCGAGGGAACCGTGCGCACCGGCTCGGGGCCCGTCCGGAACAGTACCACACGATACGATTTCATTATTTTTTTTTTCTTCCTCCATTCCTTTTACTTGGCCAGTGCGCCCTTTTTCGAAGTCCGCTCGCTGCGTGGGCAGCGTCGGACGTCGTTGCGCGCATTAATCCGTGGTTTAGCGAACCAATTTAAATATCAGCGGCGCGCTCGACGCAATTTTATATCATTTCCGATATTATGCGCTTGTGTGGGTGGGTTTAACAGTGCGCCCGCCTCCCTTTGCCCCACCAATTCGTGCGACAGCCAACTCTGCGGACCGTTACGCACCTCTCTGCACGAGGATATCACCGTTTTTTTAAAATTCACACGTTCTCGGAAGAAAAGCGTAATGTCCTCGCCGCGTGCTCTCGTTACCTCCTGGTCCTCGTTGCCTTCCGTTTCGTACCGTTTGTCGCGTGCGTATGCGCCTATGGCCGGTGTACGTCGTACGCGTGCATCGTCGTCACGACGTACTTACGTTTGCGGTACATATCGTGAAAGTGCACGGGCGCATGCGCTCGATCGTGCTGGTTTACTCGCGCACGTGCGTGCATGTGCATACGCGTTCTTCGTGCATCGAACAACACGCCAGCTGCTTTACTATCGACGCGACGTGGGCACGTAAGAATACATAGGTACACGCATACGCGAACAATACGTACACTCGCGCGCACGCAGTGGCGAACGCACTCGCGCGAATCAGTGCGCACTCGAGCGCGTTCGTCCGCCGCCGAGCACCGTACGCCGTCCGCAGTGCCGTAAAACCGACGCGACGTCGTCCGACAGATTTCGACCGGCCGGTGCACGCCAGCAACAAGTGACCCGTTCGTACCTGGCTGCGACGTCCACTCACGTTCTGTATTCGGTTCTTATCAATTCGGTTAGAGTTCGTATCTCTGATTTATGTTCGCGCTGCAGCCTCGTAGTCCATACAACTGGCGCAGTAAGCCTTCGTGTTATCTCTCCGATTCGCTACCATCTAATTCACTCGGAAATGAACATGAGTCGAAGATTATTGGAACTGCATGTTCTTTGATAGTGTTCCGAGTTTCTCGTATTCGTCAAAAGATAGCCACGGAGTAGAATTTGTTCGTATCTCTCGATTCACGTTCGCACTGTATCCTAGCACAGAACTACCTTACACTTACATGTTATCTTTCCGATTTGGTACTGTCTAATTACTTCGGAAATGAACATAATTCGAAAATCATTGGAACTGCATATTCTTTGGTAGTCTTCGGATATGTTCGTATTCGTCAAAACGGAGGCGCGCAGTAGAATTCCTTTTTAGGGAAAACTGGCCCGTTGTTGACAGATTGATAACCGCGACAGTGCGTTGGTACGAACCGTGGCGAGCTTTCGAATGCACTCGCATCAAAGAAAGGTTATCAATGGCGTAGTATGCGAGGCCGTAAGCTTTCAGCGGATGAATAAGTTATATATTCCCGACGAGGCTAGTAATCGCCGCTACAAAAACAGTATTGTTATGACTCGAGTAAGTGGATGACGTCAGTTATCACAGCCTCTTTCTTCGCTATTTATTG